AAAAAAAAAAAAAAAGGAATATAACAAAATCAATATTTAACAGTTCTTGCTTGCCATCTGGTACAAAATACGTAAACCATCTACTTGTTATGCTCATCACATGATTTCCCACGAGACATTTCTTGCGATTTAATACAGGTGACTTGAAATTAATATTTGGACCATATTAAATATTTATACCTTAAGCCTAAAAAAATACTTTGCTTTTTCCCCACGTCTTCGTTAGTTACGATTTAACTTTTACATTTCCTTAATTTCACAAAATAATTACATTATATCACACAAGACACAATTATATTAACTACGTTACAATAAATGACAGAATTTTTTAAATTCAAAATGTTCTCTGGGTAATAATTACAAACTAGCCGCGACCCGCAAAAAATTTTGTGGTAGTTTTCAGGCCCTTCGCTTGAATTTTCCTTATTCTATCATTTTCACGCACGCTACTTAATCCACGCTTTATTCCGGGCATTACATGTTAAATAGATAAATCCTGGTTTATTTGAAAAAAAAAAAGTTACGCAGTCAGACAAAGTCACGTAGACGTAACTTTATTTAATAAAACTACACGTAAAGTAAACAATAATGGTATGTATAATACAATAGTGTACAGAGCAGGAAACAGTTTTGAGCGTTCAGTATATAACAGGGTTTTAAGAGTTAGAACAAAAAACTTTCAAAAATGAAGAATAAAACCCGTACCAAAGTAAAAAGTGGTTAAAAGATTTTTTATAGCAGTCTATGAAATGAACCGAAGCTAACTTATAGCAAAGTAAAGAAAATGTAAAATTGTAATGAAGGCAAATTTAGCTGAATATGCAGAAAGTGATAAGTATAAGGTTTTGAACGAAATGAGCATACGGAGTTTAGACCTAAATATGCCTAGAAAGTTCACAGAAATTGTATTTAGTGTAATATGTATTTTTAGGTAATTATGTGTTGTGTGTAAAATACTTCGCAAATAAAAAAAACTAAAGTTAAAATCGAAGCCAGTCGTCACGTGATGACAAAGACATTTTGCCATCGTGTACCTTACTCGTTGCATTGAAAAGTTTGGCTAAACTAAAAACAGGTAAGGTGATTCTGAATTTATAAGCCAATATGCAATCCGGGTTTCTCGAATAACGGCTTTTCTAACGATACGAGATTTGTAGTTTGATAAAGAAATTTCAGAGAAAAGTTCCGGACAGACAAACATGAACAAATATTACGGAGATGTTGCCATTTTGGGTTTTAACCTTCTATGCATAATACATTGTAGAAATCTTTTATTACTAAAATATCATGTATGTTAAATATAGTTTAGCATTTGTTTTACTAACACATGATATCACAAAAAAAAATTCAGCAGATAATATCTACTATAAAGTTAAGAATTAATACAACATAAACTACTAATGAAAGAAAATTTTATTTCTTGAAACAATTTGATCATTTTAAAATGAGTAGAAAACAGAAAAAAGTTGGAAAATATTAATAACGGTAGTTAACAGATATAACATTTGTATTTTCCAACAAAATGATATATTTCAGGAATGATGCTTCTAAAAACAAAAACATGATAAAAAAAAAATCATTAAAAGTGAAGAATATCATTAGGTACTTCTGAGCAGAATACATGATTAACATGATTAATTTCTGGATAAAATAATCCAGGAATTAACTGATCGCCCATATTTTCTTTTATTTTGTATCTTAATATTGATACCTGTTAATAAAAATTAGTAAAAAGTTTAACTTTGAAAAGGATTGTTTATGAGGTCAGAGATGGTCAATATGCATCCTGCTGACTTCAAGTGATTGAAAGAAACAATACTGATGTTAAACTTCACCAACACCAAATTACCAAAAATTAGAATTGAAAGTAAACTTTTTGCTGCAGTATACATAAGAATATTTTTAGATTTGTACATTAGTGGTTTATTTTTTTTTTGAGTCAGTAGTCCACTAAATAAGTCAATTAGTGATTTTTTACATTAAAAAGGTGATCTAACTAAAGTATTATTGCTAAAAATAGTCAAGATTACTTAAACTATCACTTAATGTGTTACCAAAGTTATGATCCTAAACTTTTTGAACTCCCAACCTACTTCAGTAGACAGGTAGTTTTCTGGGGCCCATTGATAGTGTTGATGCATCAACCTTTTTCATACTTAACTGTGAAAATGGTAGGGCTAGGGGATACTAAATATAAACTTCAGCAGGGTTGGAGTCATCTTCAGCTAAGTCAGCTTTATTTTTGGTTGGCCTTTGGAATAGGTTACCTTCAGATGTGCCAAATGCAGTTAATTTCAGTGAATTTAAGGGAAGGCATGATATAAAAATCTGAATGATAAGGGCTGGCTTTGATCATTCTAAAGTTTATTATAGTGGATGTAATGGTTTAGATGGGCTAATAGGTCCTTATTGTCCTTAAATTGTATGTATGTATTTGTGCACGCACAGATGGGGAGGGGAAGAAATATTACTGTTCTAATATGCTTCAATAAAGTTTAGTAGTGCTTTTATTTATTTATTTATTTATTTTTCACAAATATTTTAGGACCATTATTTTATGAATAATTTCAAAATCAAAGTAAATTACATGTTTAATCCATCTCAAATGTGACTCATCCCAATACGATCTACAGTTACAAACCACTGACATAAAGAAAAAAAAACCATCTTATACGAGTTTGGGAACAATTAAAACAGTTTTACATCCTATATTTTTTAGTTTGTTTTTTAAGTGAGAGCCTAAACCACAACTCGGTAGCATATATTTCAACGTTTCCAAAACACCGAATCTGTTAGCTTTTACTTAGAACTACATTTTCAGAGGAAGTAATGGATCAAGAAAATTTTTGTTTCAAACTGAACTTTTCCATATTACATTACCAATAAAAAATAATAATCTGTACATCAGATTCATATCTTTGTAGTTACTATTAAAACACACACAAATATTGAATTGTGATTACTTTCCAAATTAAAAAATAAAAACAAACGTAGGTTACATTTACTAAAACAACTTGTTTTCGCTGACTAAAAAAACATCACTCTGACTTGGGTAATCCATGGTTCACGATTTACACTGAAACTTTTTATACCTTTCAACTTGCTCGCTTAATGTTTTGTCACATTCATTAAGTTGTACCTTTTGCATTCTATGTTTTCTTAAACATTTAACGAATGCTAAAACCTTAGCCAATGAATGATATTACTAATATATTGTACAAAGTACTTGAGTTATGCATGAGCAATGAAAATGCTTTTCCATCTCCACATTAATTCATTTTGAACATTAGCAGAGATATTAATAATTTTATTATTTTGGAAAAAATGTAGACTTCATCTTACAAGTTCAAGTGCTCTTTACTGCAGACGTCTTTTTCGTTCTTTTTCCAGTTCCTTCGCTTTTTCCCAAGATTCTTTATTCATTGTTGAAAATCCAACACTAAGAGAAAGGTACCTGCAGAAATTTTGAGATAAGCAGTGTTAAAACCATACATCATCTAAAGTTAAGAAGGTCAACAGACAAAATCAGAAAGTATTATTCTTGACAAATACTCCAAACATGCAACTTTTTACTGAGAAAATATTTTTGTAATTTTAGATTGTATTACCTAATGTGCTTAAATTACATGACTTTTCTTACCATTGAACAACATTGCAAAAACTTGTATTTTTCTGAACATCTCTCTATACTCCCATAAAATAGTTTAATCACTGTGCTGAATTAAATAACCGAGATTTAACTGGTTAAATTAAATCTCTGTAAGTAACATTTATTAAAACCAACAATATAATGAGGTTGAATAACTGAATATCTTGTTTGTTACATGTGACAACAATGTGTGAAACTGAAAGTTAAGCAGGAAAAAGTTTGTCATTAAAACAAAAACATAGCAACATTACTTTTTCTTTTAGTTTTTTTAAGATTGTCTGTACAAAGGCAGACTAGAAACCAATTGTTGTTTAAATGAATTAGATTTACTTCTTTAGATTCCCTCATGTTTCTATTTGTCCAATAAAATCAAACAGCTTGCCTGATGTATTTGGACAATACTTTGAGTTCTATTCATTACATAACTTATATATAATATAATTTGCATAACAGTAGTATGTCATGTTGCCTTTTATAATTCATTCTTCAAATTTTAAAATGCTTATTGTTTTATGAAATGTGACTTAAATTTCCTGTTTGCAAACAATATCAGATTACAATCAACAAGTGTACCACGGTGTTGGTAATCAACATCACTTCTCGGCATAAATATGACAATTCCTCTATCAACATCCAGGTCTGATAAAAAGTAGGTGTATTAGAACTTTAATAGGGATTTGCCTCTTTGATGTCTATATCGCTTCATTTTAGCTTCAATTTTATCAATAAAGTCATCAAGAAAATGGATAACTTCAAGTTTCAAACTTATACCTTAGTTTCACATCTTACATAGTACTATAAACTTAGTATAATCTACCAGAAACTACTTTAAAAAAGAAGTGGTACATAAAAATATGAAAAATCACAAAAGAGCTTTGTAAAAAAAAAGATTCAAATATTTTCAATTTCTTTATAAAATATGTGACAATTTTTTAAAATAAGCATTAAAAGCACTAACAATTGAAACTGACATAGCTACCATTCTCAATAAAAAAAAAAAAATGGATAAAGTGCAGAGTGCATTGTTGGGACACAAGCCATGAAGCCTCGAATTTACAATCTGGCATACTAATCACCGAGCCACATCAAGCTCTTGTGTTATTCAGAAGTTTGGAAGGTAGGCACTAAACCAGTAGCAATGGAGAAACTGAAATGGCTATAAAACTCATAAAAAAAAAATGGAGACAATTAAGAAAGTAGAGGATTTTAGAATCCATATGGTCATACCCAATAATCTATGAAAGTTTCATGACAAGAGGTTAGGAAGTTGAAAAATGTAATTAAGGACAGATAAACATGCATATACTTTGACATAAAAATGACAGGATAGATATGTCATAACACTGTATAGTCTTCTTGAAACAGGCTTAAATTTTTCCTTCTATAAAATTACATTGATGTTTCAAGCTTGTTGTTACCTTAGTTTTTAATATTAAATTTTCTTGCCCAATTCCTCACAATTTGTCAGTTTCTAAGATCATGCAGAGAACACTTTTCTCAGCTATTTATAGACTTTGTTTTTATTCCTCTATCATTTTACTGTTTGCGAGACAATAGGAATTGTTCTGCAGATTCTAAGAATACTTAGAACATGTGATTAGCATATTTAATTATTTCTACTTTTTTAAAATACTGGATCTTTCCAAGAAAAATTTACAGACACAAAGGTCTCCTTCATTGATATTTTGAATCATGCATCACAACAATTGTGACAGATTTGTTATTATATATCTATTTTAATATTGACATTTGTTTAGATTAAATTTAGAAATATACATAGCTGATACTGTTAAATATGTAGTGCAAAACTCCCACCTATTCTCCAAAGTTGTAGAAGATTCTCGAGAGTAAGAATCAACAATATACGTGTGTACATAAATACTCGTGTTAGCGTCAGTATTGTTACGTAAAACTGAAATTGAGAAACACTCCACACACCTATAAATCTAACTATCATGCTGCACCAAAAAGAATATCTATTATTGGTTTGCTATAGTTGGTGTGTTATAAACTTCAGAAGCTATAACTGAGATTGTTATAATGCTTATTAATTGGAAAACTTCAGATATTTGACCAGGAGCATTTATAACGTTCGAACGTTACAAATTATTTATCTTCAGTGGATTCTCATCGGACGTTAGTATTTTTATGAAAACATTATATAAATTCATCATGGAAAACTCGAGGTGTGGCTGGTGAATAACGAAGGACAGACTCAGCCATAGTAAGGGAATGACTGTCATTCCTACAATGCACCTACAACTTAAAGTATGAGGGATATTTTTGTGGTATTGCATGAATTCGATTGCACCTTGCCAACTCCAAATAACACAAAGCTAATATGCACCCATAAACAAATCTTCTAGAAAACCAGTTATTTATGATGAAAATGAATGACAGCTATAAAATATATTATTTGTAAATGATGATTTAATTAATCTGTATTTAACTTTTTACAAACCAGCAGGATAACATCTTGTCCTTATGTTATTGTTTTTCACACTATATAACATCTAGTTTGTGCTTGAAAAAAAAAAAATTTTGTTTAATATTTTTATAATATTTTAGGTTGCTATTTTTCAGATTTTATTGTAAAAAAAAAATACTTGTCTTATTTTTTGTTTATTAGGTGCCTAAAATCATGTCAATGTATCCAACAGTTATTTTTCAATTTAATTACAATTATAATGTCTGTGTTGTCCTAGTAACAGCACTCCAATTTTCTTGTTTAGCCATACAAGCTCTTTCATACAATGAAAATATTAAAAAAACGAAAAAACTGGAATTTTTAATATCAATCAGAAGGATTCATTTGATATATCCAATAAGTTCTCACTTTTTTCATTTTCATCAGTTATTCATATTTATTATTTATCTTTACTGAATCAGTTATGTCGCCACATAAATAGCATTGAAGAGTAAAAATGTTGACTAGTGTAAACACAACTTGCACTTATACCCTATGAATACACTGATAAAGGCAATATTTTCAACTATATTTTTTGTCAAGTTCAATTTCTCCAATTATAGTTTGTTTTCATTAACCAAAGAATTCTTGTAGTTATGTGTTTTTTGAGTAACAATAACTTTACTAATACACAAAAATAAAAGCTTTTGTGCCATCTGAATAGTTTGCAATCACAAAACTGTTAGCCTACCATACCCACTGACCTTAAACATCCTTACCTGATGTCTTTTCATAGAAAAATATTCCTATAGCTTACAAACAGACATAATATAACAAAAAGATTATCACAAGCTTAAAAGATAATCAAATAAAATTAAGAAAATTCCCAAATTGTGACTTATTCCAAATTATGAGAACTTCTACTTGTCACTTTCACAGAAACAATAAATTACTGCTAACCTAACTTTATTTACCATAGATTTACAAAAATAGGCATGAATCTTTTCTATCCAATAGTTTTTAGCCATTGATTCTATATGATTTTGATACTACGATTTAGCAGTTATTGTACAACCCACTTGCTGGGACATCTTAGCCCTGTGTGTGCATGGGTGAGGGTCAAAATGTGCACACCCCACTCTTGTACAGTGCCATTCTACATGGTATCATGGGTGTGATAGTTATCAACTTTTCATGTTACCCTGCATTGTTAGAATTGGGAAGGTACCAGATATTATATACAGGGATACCAAAAAAAATTAGATATGCATGAGAGGTTGTAGAGATTATGCAAATGCAATATGCAAACTGTATGATGAACAAAAATATTTTTATTCTTCACGTGAACATCACCTTGCATTCCGAATTGTCAGAATCCAAGTCAGTCATATCTTCAGTAGAAAAATCTTAACACATCTGACATGCACTGTTTAGTTAAAGCTTGCCACATTTCATGAAGATTTACTTCTTAAATTCAGAATTATAGTCAACAATACTTCTCCAATACAAAGTCAGTATAATGGACTGACCCTGTGTACACAGTTAAGTGCCTCTTCATAGAGGGTTCTGAAATAAAATCACTGAGAAAAAAGGAAAGATATGAGAAACATAACAAGGATAAGTTATTTCTGAACGATGACAGGTTCCAAGTAAATATAAGCCGAGACTTTGTGATGGACAGAAAAACTAAAAAATTCTGTAAGGGAATTATTTACAGATGATACCCCTTGGAGTTGTGCAAATATCAAAAGCTCAAACATTTTTCTTTGTACATTACAATAAATAATTTTTGCAAAGTTACAAAATATTAATTCTTAAATGTTTAAGTAAAAAATTTATTGAAATAGAGTTACAATTATTATTTTTACTTAAATTATGAAATTTAATAAGCAAGTGTGTACTTAACATAGGGAAGCTGCTCTCTGGTCATAACAGGGTTAATAATCATTCTTCTCAGATATATCTGAGCATGCATTACTTTTCAGCATAATTAAATCTTTGGGAAATACTTAATATTAAAAACATTTCCTTAACCCTACCGACACAGGTCAAAGGCCATGTCATCACATTTGTTGGCTCTCATTCAAAATTTTATTGAACTATCTTATGAATGTATGTCAATAAGTTTGGTATCAAATTGTAGAGTATAATTCAAATTTTAGTATTATATATTAGTTAATTTCTAAGTTTAAAAGTAAATATTAAAAAAAAATCCTAAATATCAATTTGTGTGTGTGTGTCACATGGTATGTTGAATGCAGCATTGCTTCATATTAGATGTTTGTGATGTTCAAGTACAAAGTCTATAGTTCTTAGATACTCAAATTACCAATAGTGACAAGCTAGAATGCAAAACAAGAACCTTCTACCTTTTCTATTTGCCGAGATATTAATATATTTATTGAATCAACCACAGTGGCCCCACCCAACTCTAACACTTTTGAAAATACCTGCTTACGTACACCTACTTTGCCCAATAACATGTGTATAACCAAATGAAAACTGAATGTCCTGTCCCCCTAGCAAAGTATTCGCATGGAAGCTATTTCTTTTCATGCCAGATTAAGAAATAAGGTAAGACATTAGTGAGCTCGAAATTTCATATTTTTTTAGACCCAAATACAGCTTAGTTACTAAGCTTGATAAATTATAGTGAAATTCTGTGGTAATGATATAGTAATTTATGATTTTTGGTTATTCCATAATGTATATATATATATACATTATATATATATAAAACCTAAAAACATTATTTCGTTTCATATCCTCCACATGCAAAATTTGATAAGGCTTAATGACTTACAGATAATTAGAAGAGATAACTCTTTGCTATACTTCTTTATTTACTGTTCTATGTTTTAAGAAAAACAAGTACAAGAACTTATTTCTAAATAGTACTAATGCATATACATATATTATGTATTATAACTGAAATGTGACTATTTTTCAAAATACTAGTCTACTAAAACACAGCCAAGACAAGTCACTTTGTAAAGACCAGTTATATATTCTTGAATACAGTAACATGAGTGCATAGGAGTTGCATTATTGCAACTTCTGTAATGTTAGCCATGTACAGTTGAGAGGTCAATATAATAAAATAATAAATATATTTGGATGTATAATGATATGAGATTTAAACTATTTAGACTAAACATTTGGGTTTGAGTTATAATTTGTAGTCATTCTAGAATGGGAAAAAAAAAGCATAATTTGTATTTATTTCCTAATTTTTTTTATGGTGGTTACAAGGTTGGTCAAGTTGACACAACCATTACAGAGATACAGATACAGTAGTGAAAATAATACATAAAATATAAAGTGTTTTCTAAAAAAATGTTTTTAATTATCTGAAGGCTATAAAAATTTTGCATGAGAAAATTGAAAATTATCTGATGCATAAAAGTATTTTTAACTTTAAAATCAAAATTACTTTGTATGTTGGGTAATCAAAATTCAAAAAGAAAAAAAGGCATGAGAAAAACATTTTTAAAAAAAATCTTTAAAAAAAAAACCTTAAAAAAATATTTTGTGTGTACAAAAGCCATGTAATGTTTACTGATAATATGCAAAATTTTGTAAAGATAAGCTTACTAATTTCAAAGATATAGCATAAAACTATAACAAGCTTGTGCTAAGAGAGTTAATGACAAAATCCAACAATAGTCACAAACCTGGCCAAAACCAGAAGTGAATGAAGATCATCAGCTGTCATGTTCTGATTCTCTCTTCTCATGTGCACAAAGTCATCTTGAATTATCTGAATTGCATAAAATATATTTCAGTAATATGTTACAAACATATGTTCATTCTTTGTGTTTTTCTAAACTCTTGAGCAAACTCATCACTATTTAACAGTTTAAAGCATATAAGAAATCACTTATCCAAGTTCTCTTTCTGATAACTTAATTTTGGTCAACTAAGTCTAACATTCTCAGTTATACAATAACTTGCTTTTGTTACACAACCAAAGAAAAATTAAGAAACTACTCTTATGAGTTAAAATGATACGTTAACAGTCAGTTAAAAAGAACAAAACAAAATTAACTGTCTGACACTTTTGTTATAACAAGGAATACAGTACTAATTATTTTAAGAATCTTGTCATAACAACTGATTGTATTCATATTAGACACTCATCAGTACATGAAAAACAACTTTAGTTTAAAGCAACAGCTTTAGTAATTGATTTGAGTCACACCTTGTGAAAATTTCTGTTAAAAGAAATTGTTTATAAACTTTCTAAACATTATTACATTACATAAACAGTAATGAAAACTCTCCTCTTGACAATTCTACATTAAATTATGTTCATAGTAAACCTACATAGAGAACTAAGAACTTACCCACTATATAATATATCTAACTTAATATATCATTCTAATAAGGAGTATGCAGTGTTATAAAACAAAAAATTACAATTATTAGAATGTAGTGATTCACCAGTTAGACACCCTTTGTAGCAATATTTTTAGCCATGATCTCGGTAAAACTGGGTGATTAGTTCGACTACCTATGAGTATCGATTAAATTAATTAATGTTACATATAATAAATTAATCAAAATTAGATTAAATTGATTAACATCAGGAAAAAAATAAACTCATTGAAATAAATAATCACAATTACTACTTCTTTTTTTTATTATTATTCTAACTATCCAAGTAATGAAAATATTGCCATTATGATAATTTTTTTATTATTCCAGGGTTGTTCAGCTTAAATCAATTACTGTAATACATCATAAAAATAATCAATTAATTGAAAACTATGGAAAACACTCGTGCTTCATATACAAAATGTTTTTTAGTTTTCCTTCTTTGTATTTGAATGCACAAAGTTTATAAATTATAAACACAGTGCTGTGTATTTGAAGTAATTATAGCAGTTAAGTGACCTGCCCAGACTACTCACTTAAGAAGTTAGGTATGTATAGCATTCTGAACAAATCTGATCACTGTACAAGGTATCTCAATGACTGCAATGTTAAACATAAGTGGGTTAAACCTATTCCATAACATGTAATATCCACCAAACACCTCTCATTTCTAGTGAAAAGCCACTTTAAACCAAATTGTCTGATCAAAAATGACAAACCAATCAACTTATCTAGTGACACTTTCAAAACTTGGGTACTGGGTACAAGTATGAAAAATAAGTGATGGTGCCAGCACACTAATTGTCTATAAACAAATGAAGAAATTTACACACAAAACCTTAACTAAAAAAAAGAATATTTTGTCTGAGATAAAGCTCTAGGGGATGATATATCCATTTCCCAAATACCTTTCTCTTTGCAATGCATAGTACTATCTACACCCACCCATCCCTTATGCACAAGGTGATGTCACCAGTACTTCCCTGCTCCCAATTTATTCTTGCAAAGTTTAAAGATGTTTAAAAGACTTTCTATGCAAACATGATGATATCGTTCATACTTCCTTACTCCCAATTTCATTTTTGTATCATTTAATAAAGTTTAAAAAGCTTCCTATGCATGCACACAGATATTACTCTTTTAATTATATAGATAGTAATAATCAAGAACATTTTCACTAGTTCATTAAGTTGATTATTCCAACTATCCAAGTCTCATGTGAGAATAATTAATTAGCTGAGTGTAATTAATTAATAGGACCAACCATTAATCAATTATCAAATTCCACTAATTTCGCAGCTCTAAATCTCAATGATATACAAGGTTCAGCCAGCTTGCAAGATTTAGGTTAGTCCTAAATCCTTTTACTAAGCTAACAATGTAAAATAACTATAAAAAAAGAAACAAATCTAACTGCACTATTTTATAAGAGCAATATCACCCATTCAAATTTCGTGATGAGGAACCCACTTTGAGACTAATAATGGATGGTCTCCAGCCATTATTAATATCACCCATTGTCAACAAACAATAAAATTCAGTCACATGTACTCTTCTGTAAAATTAATCTATGTGAAAATAAACATCTCTGTTTGATTCACGATACTAAATTAAATCTACACAAGTTTAGAAAAAAAATGGGGGAAGTTGTGGTAAACAAATGAAAATTTTTATCAATTTTTCAAAATGAATCACATACATTTTAATATAGTTGTGTATTAGTTTCAAAACATTTTGCTTCTATTGTTATCTACGCTAGAAACACTAAAAAACATATATAAAGCTAATGTACAATTTCGTGTAAAAATTGCTATGAATACTGTTTTATTAATTCTACCATAATCTATAGTACACTAAAATCAGTCAAATGTTGTTTATCAAACTTTTCAAAGATTTGTAGAAAAACAATCTACACCTTTTAATGTTTTGTAGCAATATATATGATTTCACAAAACATTTAAAACTATATGAAGCACTTACTTTTTGAATATCCTCATTCATTACAAACTCCAAAACTTTACACACAGTAATATAATTACGTAACTTCTCTAGTAAACCTTCAGAAAGATAGGTTTTTATCAAACCAAACTGTTCGTCAAAATCCTCGGGCCTTACAAGTGGCTTTAATGGTACTTGAATATCTGTTGGAAGGATAGAGCGTCCTTCTGAAAGAACTAATGAAGCAACATTAGAAGAAAACTCCATCTTATGATAGCTGAAATCATAATCCACACGTTGCCATTTAATCAGATTCCCAAGAGCAGTTATATTCTGTACACCTTTGGCTTCCAGCTGCCCAGTACTTAAAGATGTCTCATCAATAACCAAGTGTGTATGATCACTCAACTGAAGTATACCACTAATCAAACGGTTTTGGGAATAGTCTTTCTTTGGAACAAAAGTGAATGTGTTCAGATTCTGAAGAGTCATTGGCAAGTAAAAACTCTATAAAAAAGATAAACAACAAAGTGGTATTAAAATATATTTAAAAATTGAACACAGACTTTAAAAAAGTTTGTACTTTTATTAGTCTGTTTCTTTAGCAAGTTGTTCTACAATTTTACTATTTGTTATCTCAACTGTGTAACACATGGAATATATAATAATATTATGGATGATTACGTTTCACCCACAGGCTAGTACCTCAACTTCATGTTGCAAACCAACTGCAGGTTGACTGGAATATATTAACCTTGATCCTATCAAATTCTGGTCATCAGGCATGGAACATAAATTTAGTTGACAGATAACCTAGCTACTAGCCAAACCCTGGTCACTGGCATTGGGCCATGAACATCGCTGAATAAGGCTAATCATGCTAGTATTCAACCTTCCATTATTTAAAATGTGACACAACTGTGACTGTGTGTGTATGTGTGTGTATATATATATATATATATACACACACA